CAGACTAGCTTGGTAAGTCATCTTAGATGAACTTGCCATCCAACCCACTGTCAAAAGTCAACTTCACCCACTGTCCATACTGGAAGAAAAGAGGAAAGGTCCTCTGGACGAGCGACCTGTGCGAGAGCAGAGGGAAAATCGTATTCAAAAAGGTGCCAAGGTTGGAGCTGGGTCCACGAATCAAGGAGACCCGCCCGACTGAGACCATCCGAGGGGTTGGAGTGGCTATCAATCCACTCGAACCATACTCGAATCCAAAAATGCTGTAGCAAATAATGCGCAAGCTGAACCATGGTGTGGACATCTGCCTGAGAGCTCCCGCCCCGAATCAGGGAAGCCACTGCAGCTTCGTTGTCCACAAACCACAATACATCCAAGTCGGCCAGAGCGTGTCCATGGAACCAGGGAACCAGCAGTCCACACAAGCGCGGCTTCAGGGAGAGCACGAAATTCGTGAACAATGCGCTGCAACTCCATTGGTTGTTGAGAGCGGGGGTCATCCAGGCCCTTGCGCTTGGTGTTCAGGGATGAGTTTCCCTGGCAGGGGGAGCCACCCCCAATCAGGATACCTCATGGGTGACGGCGCTGAAGAAGTCCTCGAAAGTGGTCAGCCCGCACATCCTCAACCCGATCCAGGTGCACGATGTTAGGCATAGCTTGCTCTGCACAGCGCACAGCGTCCTCATCACTCTCAGCGCTGAGGGCGTAGAAATGAACACCCATGGCGAGGAGGGCTACGCAGAGACCCCCCACACCAGCCCAAATCGACGACCAACCACGTGCCCTGAAAGGGCTTCGCCCATGGGTACTGCGGCAGATCACTGCGCCCCCGCCAGCTCACAGGCTTGGCTGCTGTGAGGCGTGCTGCGACATCCATAGAGCCCATGACAGGAGCGGCGTCTCCAGCCAAAACCACACGCCTGCCCTGACCGGGATGTGGTTCCTCCGTGAGGGAAAGCCGCGAGGATTGCCACGGCTCCACTTCCCCCCGGGGCACCCAGGCCCTTAGGGGGAGCTGTCCCTATTCAGAGTGCTGCAGGCGAGTATGGCCTGCTGAGCATGGCTTCCCCGTAGAGAGCTTCACGTCGCACTTGTGGATGTTGGGGCACTTAGCTTGCTGGCATCCCCTGCCATCGTTCCATGGCTTGCAAAACCACTGGCCTCCCTTGACCTGGCTCACAGTAGGCCACCGGTCGGACTTGATCTGGCGCCTGGCCGGGGGAGCTTTCTCCTCAGAGGGCGCAAGCTCCGCAGCTTTGCGCTTGGCCGAGGCCGCCTCAGGCATAGAAGGCTGCAACGCTGGGGATCGGTGAGTTTGGCGGAGGGCTTCAGCCAAGGCGCTGCCCCCTGTGTATCCCCGTCGGACCAGGGATGCCATCTTGGACCTGGTGAGAGTGTCACACTTCTCCAACCAGAGCAAGCTACCATGGCCATACTCCATCATTGATTGCAAAGCGTGGTCCGCGTAGGCCAGTGCTTGGTCCAAGGGCATGAAGGTGCGTTCCTGCTTGTCGAAGTCCTGCTGCTTGAAGAGACCAGCCCAGCCCCAGGCATAGGCCAAGGTCCGCAGCGCCCAGTAGTGGTCGACCACGGTCTTGACAACCCGCCCTTCCTCCGTCTGAAACTCCAGCTGCACGCCAGAACCCAGTCTGACCGCTTCCTGGAGGCGAGGGGTGGACTGATGCAAGATAGACCGGATCTTACTGGCTGGAATGACAGTCATCGTGCGCTTGCGGAATTCACGATAGCACCTGCTGCGAAGTGAGTCGGAGGGCTCAAGCATGGGGTCCAATGTCAAGTTGTACTTGGCCAGGAAATCACGCGACATTTGTTGCATAGTGCTGTCTGGAAGAACTTCATCAGGGGCGTCCACATGCTTCTGCTCGGAGGCTGCCGTCTTGATGGCGGCAAGGCCCGCAGCCCGGGCCGCTTTCAAGCGAGACCGAGCAAGGCGGTTGTCTTTCTGTAGTGGTCAGCAAAACCTGGGTCAGGGAGTCTTCGATGTTCACATCATCAAACCAGTAAACGAAATCTTCCAAAGTCTCCCAACGATGTTTGGCAATGATCTCCTTGGACCACTCCGGAAGGATATTGGCCACAGAGAAGCACATCGCGAGGCCGCGGTCGTCGGCATAGACATCAATGTGGGAGGCATGAGTCATCGTGGGGCCTCTCAGAAAAGTGGAGGAGGGCACCTGAAGATCTTGGGCCAGGACCACGGGAGTGGAGGATGGCTGGAAGGCGCAGCTTCACAACCGCACCCCACACTACACCAGTGTGTACATGGCCTCGAATGCCTCAACCCCACCAGAGTGAACGTGTCACAAACAACCTCCTAATTACTAGTAAATGGACCAAAAAATAGGGGAGATCAAACACGGTAATCTAACCACGTGCGACGGGGGCCGTCCCCCTGCAGACGCGCCCGCCCCCCCCGAAGACAGGCCCGCAGCGCTTTTTCATACCCACCGGGTGGACGGTTAGTGAAGCCACCCGCATGTGTCTGCCAGGGCCTTGTACAGAGCCCGTGGCATGCGAGCCAGACACCGCTGGCAAAGCGCGCTCTTGGGGAGGGTATTAAAACCCTCACCGACCTGCTTCGGGTCTTGCGCATAGGCCGCGCGGCAGAAGGGGAGTAGCCTACCATCCAACTCTCCTTGGACCAAATGTACCCGGGAGGCTTGCACGAACCATTTGCCTTCGTATCCCAAGTCCGCTGGGGCGTCAATGCCTTCCAAGTCGGACGCGGCTGCAGAGATATCTGAAGCTGACCCGGACGTAGTCGATGAAGAAACTGACAAAACCCCGTCTGCTTGGTTGGCGGGCGACAAATTGTCAGCCTCAGGCTCCTCCTTCACCACTTCAGTAACCGGGAGGACCGGTTGGGCCACCTCCTCCGGGGTCAAAGACACCTCAGGGAGTTCGACCGACTCCATCCCTGGTGGGAAGCGCTTCGCCACCGCGAGCTCCTGCCAGGACCAGGAATCTCTGGGCAGCAGCCCATCGTGCGTGAGGGCCAACTCAGGCTGCTTAAGCTGCCACAGCTGGAGGAAGCGCTTGACAAGGGCCTCCTTGAGCAGGGCGCTATGGACCACCTTCTGTCCGGCGTAATGCACGCCCATCGACCACGTGGCTCTACTTTTGCGCTGGGGAGTGGGGCCACCCGCACTCGGCACCTCCACCCAGCTTCCAAGAGATTGTTGGTCTTGGGGATCCAAACGACAGATCTGGCCCAGCGTGGGCAGGAAACGTCTCAACCGGTTGAACCCGGCCACCTGTGCTTGGGCTGGGTCAACACCAATATCCATCAACGTGCCCCTCAGCAACTCGAGGAAACGGCCTCTCGACATTTTCTTCGTCACGATCCAGGGGGTGGTCTCAGTAACCTGCCACAACTCATCGGCCTGCAAGGCCACTGCAGGCCATAGAAAACCAGCATCCGGCAAGGCCTCATGGAGGACGAAGTCTTTCACGATCTTCAAGAGGCTAGCTCCGCGGAAAACCAAGTCGGGCATAGCCCACTCATAGGGAGGTCGGGTACCCTGACGCCGAGCCTTCCCCTGGGAGCACTTGAAGATGAGGAAAGTGTCCGCCTCGCCCACAAAGCTGGAGCGTTGAAAATGTTCAAACCTGACGCATGACGTAGCTGCCCACAAGAACATGGCCAGGAGCAGCAGGTGCGTGCCTGACGCCTGACGGAGGCGCAGGAGCAGGTTCATCATCTCCCAAGGCTGCAATTCTTGCTTCTGCTGAACAGCATGGTTCACAGGTAGCAACTTGTACGGTTGCAACAGCCAATGATCCAGCTCAAAGGGGAGGGCAAAGTGCTGGCGGAACCACTTCAGGGCATGGAACATGCTCGTAGCTGCTGTAGGGCCCCCGGCCGCAACTGCCTTGAAGAAAGCACTCAACTGGAGGGGTGTAGGGGCACGAACATGGAACTGGTTGTCCAGTGCATACGTCCTCCACCGTCTGAGGGCGCTCACCAGAGCAGCCGCTCGTTGAGGCGACACACGGCTCGCCGCTGGCATGACTGTCTCCTTGAGGAGCTGGCGACGAACTGGATCGCGCATCATGGGTCGATCGACCCCCAATTCCTCCAAATCGAGGAAATCGTCCATCAATAACTCAAACATTGCCTCCAGCTTGGCGTTCTTCTGCAAGACCTCCTTCGCGAACGGGTCTTGGGAGGCATCTTGAATCATAGTGGGGGCAGCCGATCCAGGGCCTGTGGAGGTCAAGTGGCGGAGCCGGACGCCGGCAGGTGGCACTGTAGAATCCTGTCCTGATTGGACCGGGTGGATCGAGATGCACGACCTCCGATGATCCTCCACACGCCGTTGGACTTTGGCGCGGGTGCTGTGGGCCCTGCCGGAAGCCACCGTCCAGAATGCGGCCACCGCGAACTCCTGGTCCGGAGGCAGAGATCCAATCTCGCGCTCCACTTCCTGCAGGAGTTCCTGGCTGCTCCCCCAAATACCTATAACATCAGTGCACGTCTGGGCGCCGACCAGGACCACCAGTTCTCGTAGGCCATCAGGCTTGTCCTGAAGCAGGTCCTGAAGCTCCTGCTCCATGGGGTCGCCCGGCCTGAGCGCCTCCGAGGGCATGGATGATGTACTCTCGGCCGGCCTGCTCTGAGATGCCAAGGTGCTCCTCGAGCGTGGCAACGGGGATCGTGTCCGAGGCCTCGCGGAAGGGGGGAGCTCCCGCCCTTGCCCCGAAGCCTGAGAGGTGGATGGTGTCGAACGTGTCCGGGCTGTGGGTCTCCTCGACGGCATTGTGACCAGCAGTACACGTGATGTCGAGCTGGCTGCAGGCTCGCCCACTCTGTGCGCAGTGTCACACTGCTGACAGAGTGCGCTGGAGTCGAGCGGAGCGCTCAACAAGCAGCCCTCACACCACAATGTAGTCCGAGGCCCCCAAGCAGCGAGTCCAATCGACTCTCCGCGGGAAGGTCCAGTGGGTCCCATCGGCGGCACGGCCAAAAGAGAAAACCCCCGGACCTTCACTTGAGCCAAAATGGCATTCAAGTGAAGGTCCTAACACTCGCATGTTTCAGATCCCAAGGTGTCCCTTCCCAACCAACCATTCACCTTGGTGGATAAGAAAACCCGCAGAGCTTCCCTCGCTTCTGAGGCGTTTTAGATGATTTTCTTCATCATCCCATTCATCAAGTATGTGTCATTCACTCCCACTCCCGGCACCAGAAAGCCCAGCAATCATCCACGTGCAACTACATGGAACTCATGATTCAACAAACTGGAAGACCCACCCGGCACCAAGGAGCTGTAGCGCAGTTGCTCATGCACCATGACCGAGGTGAACTCCTACCCAAAAAACAAGGAACACGGGCGACGGGCGACTTCGCCAAGTCATCGGCTTCGTGTCTTTTCCAAGCCGGCCCCGTCTCCGTGCGAACTGATCCTCCGCGGAACACATCGTCTGTCGACGACCCTCGCCGAACACATCGCCGCTTCGCCGCGCCTCGGGGCGGTTCGCCGCGTTCGGCTTGATGCAGCGCACGTAGTGCGTCTCCGAGGCGAAGATCTTCGTCATCAGCTCCCTGCGGCGGATCTTTCGACCGGGTGAGACACTCACGCCGTGCCCGGCCGTCTTCGGTGGGTGCCGAACGAAGAACCGGGAGCGTGGCGTGGCGTGTGAGCGCGGGCGGTGTCACCTGGAATGGTGGAAAAGGATGGCTTGAAGTGTCAAGGTGCCGACTTCCCTTTTAATGATTCGGCACGAGTTGGCTTGAGAAATGTCCCTTGGCCTTGGGGAAAAACAAGAAACGACACCCTTCTTGTTTCAGGCCCTGGTCCGATGCAGCAGAATCGCTGACATCAGACAGCAGAATCGCTGGCGCAGCCTGAGGGTTGGAATCCCAGGCATCGGATCTTCAAAAAGCATGCAACCCCCCAAAGCGCCTTGAAACACATTCTGTACAGAATGTTAAGAACTTAATACATTAATCGATGAACGTATCTGTTAAATCCTCAAGCACACAGCACACACCCCCTGTTCGTTCCCTCTTCACCACCCTCCTTCCTGCCTCAAGGAGCTCCGAAAGCGATACGTCGCGGAGCGCCGCGCCGAGCTGCGGAGAACCGGCCGCTTGGGCGACGCGTCCGCGGCGTTCGTGGCCTCCAAAGCATTGGGAACACGATGGTTCACTCCAAAAGCAAGGGGAGCTTGTACTCACTCAGCAAGGGGAACACTAACAGTGAGCAACTGTGGCCGACTTGCGACGACTTGTGGAGCATTTTGGGGGGGAGGGAGTCTAAAGGGGAGCCTACAAGATCTACAAAAAGAGTCCTGAGCCGCCGCAAGGGGAGGGTTCCAATCCTGTTTTGTGACCTCCACATACGCACACGAAGGACATGAAGGACTTGAAGCACACGCAACGCAGCCTGTGTCTCGAGACCACGACCTAGTTCTTGCAACAAGGGCAGCTCGGAGCTCTGCAAGAAATCTGGCCGAGATCGCAGAGGTGGTGGGTGGTGGGAAGGTGGAAACATTCTCTGTGGTTGGTCAGTGGAGGTTGGTTGGCTTGCTAGACTGCAGATGCGCGGCGACATAGATCAGACAATTGAATCCCTAGACCGCCGCAAACATCAAAAAACAAAAACGACTAGTCTCCGCTCTCTGTTGACCTTATATCATTATCATTACAGTATATCATTATATAAATATACGTCTCTGACACTAATATCCGCACTGGAAGTCCCTGGATGACTCAAGACATCTTGTTTCCCACCTGCCACTTGATCCAAGGGTAGCCGATCTGCATTCTTCTCCAGAAAGCCCTCGCAGGAGTAGGTCCTGGGTATCCCATCGGGGCTCGGGGCAAAAGGGGTGTCACACATCACTCGATCCTGTCCCAGGTTCCAAGATCTTCCCAAACGTCGAGTGCACCAGTTCTGTTGCGTGTTCTGTCTTTTCCTGGATCCGTTCTTGATGTTATCTGATACGGATGTTCTTGCTTCAAGGCTTCAACGGACTTCAAGCATGTCAAGCAAGATTGTGGCAGGTTTGTTTGGATTCATCGTGATTCATCGTGATTCATCTCAGGTTTTTACTCGCTTGGACTGGCTTCACTACGTGGCTTCGCAGGGTCAGTGAACAGGCTTGCCCTGTCAGGCGACCACGTTCGCAGGGTCAACGGCCCGGACTTGGTCCGGACAAAGTCTGGAAAGGTCTCCGCGAGTCAAACAAAAAAAAGAGATGACGAAGAAGGCAAGCAAAAGCGCTGTGTGTTTGTGTGTTTTTTGTTTGAAGTAGAAACGTGTCAGATGTTTTGTCCCCAACAGTCTTCCTTCAACAGACTCTTCTCGAAATCTTGGGGACTTCCTGGCTAAACGGGGTGTCTTTTTCCGTCAAGAATCAGTGAGGCGGAACGAGTGGCGAATCCAAGATGGATATATAGAGATTGGATGTTGAATGTGCTGTGTTTATCCGTGTTGAAGGTTGTTTCTGGGGTCTTTTCAATCAAATAGGTTTGATTTCACTTCTCCAGAATGTTGAGACCAAGGTTATTGAAGGCACTGTTTCATTCACTAGACTAGTAGGTTGGGATCCTTGTAAAGCTTTCATCACCAAGCATCACTGTCGCAGCATAGTGCTGGATTCCAAAGCTTGCCTTTGTGATCTGCGAATGTGCAGCTTTTCATGGTGATTCCATGTGATTCATCATGCATGGTTGCCAAGTTGACTTAACTGGTTGATACACACTCAGCTAGACCTTGATTCAAGAGTAGCTCACAAGATCTTGCAATTGGGTTCTTCAACATGCTTGCTTTTTCTTCATCTTTCTTCATCTTTCTTCCCTATCGGTGGATCAGGATGGACAACCACAGGCTCCGAGAAAAAGGGGCATCTTAACGTGTGTGTCACCATGCAAGGACTTCAACAGAAACATGTCTGGGAACGCCGGGTCTCATACAGGAGCCACATCAGCAGAACTGACTCCCCATCAGCCACCTCCGACCGAAGCCCGCGCGATCCGAGGCACACTGCCCTGGAACTTCGGGGCGATCAGGCGCGACGTGGCGCCATGGCCTTTGAGCACCTCCGGGGGCCATGGCCGCGATGCGAACACCATGTCCGTGCGGAACAGGGAACGTGTGATGTGGGACGGTTTTGACTGGAAATCTGGGCCTGACCGACAGACCCCCCAAAAAAAACCGAAAGAATTCCACCTCCCTTCCAAAGGTGTCCCTCCGGCCAGCCCCGCCCTTCTCCTGTTCGAAGTTCGGCCGTTCGCTTCGCGATCTCCGCGCCTTCCCCGTTTGTCCGCGGAGTCGCAGTTCGACCGAACGAAAGCGAAAAGCGTGTGTCGAGTCGCTTTGGCCCCGGGGCCTTGTTGGCAAAGGTGGAATCCGTCGCCTTGGGCATGGTCAGCTCCTGGCGCCAGCACCGCCGGGACCCCCCGCAACAGCGGTGGAAATCGGGCTTCGTGCCGGCAGACATCGTTTTAGACTCTCTGAGAAGGGTTTGACTGGGTAAAGACGTCAAACCCTTATCGTGTAAACCATGGCAACATGTGCCAAATTTCAGCCATTTCTTGGCACGAGTCCAAAAAGGGGAAGGGGGAGGAATCCATCAAATCCATCTCCTCACCCACCCGTGCGCTGCGTTTTAGCTGCGTGAACTCGAGCGTTCACTCCTCATCGAGCATGTCCAGCACCCCCCCTTTGCCATCCAGGAGTGCTACGACATCCGAGTTGTCTTCATACCTCAACTGCTTGGACTGAAAAAGACATCTGATTCGTATCTGGAAACCGAGTCTTAACCGGAATTCAGTTCTGGAACTCCCCAGTCCCAGCCACCTTCGGAGCCGGATCTCAAGCAAGCCATATTGGAACAAGCATTTGTTCCTGGTTGTTTGGGGTTTCCAGTACTAATTATCTTATTAGGAGTTGCTATCAAAGGCTTGGACAATTCAGGGTTATGGGGTGGCCCATGATATCCCATGATCCCCTCGCCAAGAGGGTCTAGCACCTGCTTTGGAGCTCCTTGTGTGGCGGTTGATCTAACCGTCCAATCTTTCATGTCCAGCCACCATCACTAGGATAACTAGAAAAAAGCTTCCCAAGACTATATAGACCCCAAATAAATAGATAGCAAAGTAAATCCCCACCAAGAATGTTTGGAAACCGTTTCAGTTTCTATCTATATGAGGACCACTATATTTCATGCTTGAGCTCTGGTGTTGTGGTAAAGCCGTACTTTGCCAGGGGCAACCCTTCGTGCCATCAAACCTTCATTCGTGACCCATATTCCAACCACACTTCTGAAAAATACAACTTCTTGGCAGGATATTTCCGTGTCTGTCTCCACTGTGGAAGAAAAACTCTTGCGCCACATGAACAACAAAACCGCTGTAGATTAGATACTTGGCTGGTCCCATCCACAGCGATGACGGTCCCATCCACAGTCGTGCGAACCCCCCGGGGATGAAGGGGCCACGTCAATTGGTCCCCACACATGCAGATCACCTGTAGGGGTTCCTGTAGGGGGTTCCTTCACCAAATCTATTGCAAGATACATTTGCACCAAGTAGTCATGATCATCATCTGCCTTTCTGTTCAAGTCGAAGCAGCAACCAGCATCCTTTTGCAACGCAGCACGCGCGCAACTTCCACATGGTGATATCGATCGGCAACATGCAAAGCAGTGCTGCCATCTTGAGCTACAGCATCCTTGTCAGCTCCAAAGTCTAGCAACAACCCTGCCACGTCCACGTCGCCATGTTGAGCTGCAACATGCAAAGCAGTGCTTCCATCTCGAGTTCTAGCATCCTTGTCAGTGCCAAAGTGCAGCAGCAATCGCACCACTTCTGTGTGGCAATTAAGAGCTGCAATATGCAAAGCAGTGAGGCCATCTCGAGTTGCAGCATCCTTGTCGGCGCTAGAGCCTAGCAGCAATCGCATGACTTCCAAGTGTCCAAACCAAGCTGCAGCATGCAAGGCAGTGATGCCGTCTTCCGCCGCAGCATCCTTTGCAGCGTCAGAGTCGAGCAACAAACGTACCACTTCCAGGTGGCCTTTTTCAGCTGCAACGCGCAAAGCTGTTCTGCCATCGAATGTCCTTGCAGCATCCTTTTGGATACCAGCCTCCAACAAAATGCGCACAACATGCACGTGGCCACTTTTGGATGCAACAAACAAAGCGGCGCTGTTCCGTGTGTTGGGGTCATGTGGGATTTCAAGCATACGCTCAACTTTTGCAACCTCATTCGCTGCGCATGCTTTGATGAAGGATCGGTCTGCAACTTCGTCAGGAAGTCGAAAGTCCAAGACCACCAAGCACAGAGTCAGTTCTGTCTTCAAGGGAGAGTCATCTTGCAACTCACCACTTTCCCCTAGCAGTCGCTGCCGAAATCTGGAGATGCCAATCTTGGCTGCAAGGTACTCTTTCAGCGCTCTCACGGGGGTCTTACTGTCCAGGATCAAAAACAGCTCCTCCTCGTGAAGCTCAGCAACAGGTGCCCCAGAGATGGCTGAAATCAGCATCAGTCCAAGTTGCCTCCAAGCACCTAACACGCCATACTCATGGCAAATGACACTTGTTGACAACGCGCTAAATTCAGGATGGAGTTTTGAGCACTGGGGCTCAGCAAATCCCCAAAAACCTCGTGCTTTTGAAGCTCCGAAGTTGTCCTGCAGATCTAAGAGTGCTTGAAACATCTTGAAACCACCTCTTTCCTCAAACTCCTGCCCGGTCAGGTGCCACCCAGGTGTTCAGGTTTCTCTTCCATACAATCCCAGGTCAACCTGTCAGTGGTGAACCCTAACAAATCAGCATACCATTCATATCGATCCTCTTGGATGGATGTTACCATAAATAAACCCTTTGACCATGTGTGATCGATAATGTGATCCATAGACAGTGACAGCTTCACACGCGCAACTGGGACAAAACTTGACCTGGATGTTCCTTCAGGAGCTTCCGTACAGCTCCCCCAGGTTCTTCTGGATGATCCAAACTCCAATGCCCAAGGTACAGAATGGCCTCGCCGAGGTCGACCCCCTCCTTTAGACAATCTTCAATCTCCGACTTGAAGACGGCCTGAGGCCGAGCCCACGTATGTAGGTGATGAATCACCGACGACTTTGGGGTGTGGAAGCTCCGAATGTGTGATGGTGTGAGCCTTTCATATTTCCAGCCACTGACAAATAGGAAAAGACATCTTTGAGATGTCTTTATTCATGTCTGCGCTTGTTTTTTGTACCGACGATTTTTCAGAACTCCCTCTTTGTCGGGCATGTTGCACACGAAACCACACACAAACGCAGAGCAGCCCTGGAGCCGAGCAGCTTCGTTGAACTGCAACTGGAGCTGTTCGTTGCCTCGAGACATGCTGGAGCCACTGAGCTGAACAGGTGTTCGGTACAGCGAAAGGGGGGGGGTCACCCATCTACCGAGTTGCAGGAGACGTTCTCCAATCTTAGGACTCTTTATCGGTTCCACTGCACAAGGGAAAAAGCACTCTAATTGTATATTTATACAGCACATATGTTTTAAGGATCTATTTAGATGCAGTGATTAAAAAAACAAAATAAATAAATAGACAAATAGAATCTAAAAAAAAAAACACACACACATAATAAAATCAAGGAATTAACAAAACTCTAAAGTTTTGAATATTCTATACGTTCTATATCTATTTTTCAGGTGGATTTCAACCGCTGTTCCTCCGGTTGATCAAACTTGAAGGATCGATGTTCACAGTGGTCTCTTTTTCGTCCTTTGTGTGCTGCGAAATCGCCCGTGCCGTTGCTTGGCTCCATGAAACGGGTGAAACCCCACTGTTCCAACATGTTCCAAAGCACTTCAAAAGGAATCGAATCTTGGCACGAAAGACTCAACTGAAAAGCCAAGCACTATGTTTCTTGACTCTGCTTGGTTTATCTAGACAACCAGAACAAAATGATGGGAAACAAATCCCTGACGATCTGAAAACCCGAGTTGCTGAGGTTGATCAACAACTGTTCCAGCGAGTTGGTCGCAAAGCTTTCAAATCCGCTGATGTCCAAAATGCCTGGCGCCACACACTTACGCTGTCTTGGTGGCGGTTTTCCGTACTTCTTCCAATCTTGAAACATCATCGTATGTAGTCGTATGTCGTGTGTCGGTCCTCACACGAGAGTACATCGAGACGAAACAAACCTCAAAACAGAACACACCAAATCCCAACAGCACGAGATACCAGGGGGATGGGCCGGATGGTGCGTGACCCACGGGACCTCGTCAAAACACGAAACATCATATCGAAAGACAGAACCAACATACGGATAGGTAGCATTCAAGCAATGGAATAAAGATGAATAAAGAGGCCACACATGAAATTAACATATACCAGCATCAAGAGATACCTGTTGGATGCCCCTGCCCCTGGGACTTGGAATCTCCCCACGCATCTGGCCCTCCCTCACCAAGCGCCTAAGAGTCGCTCGCTCGAGTGCACGGCGTTCGTCGCACCTCGTGCGGATGGTGGGAACGGGTGGAGCCACATGTCGAAGCGATGTCGTTGAGGTGCGTTTGACCCGTTGAGTCGTTGGGGGGGGAATGAATTTGGGTCCTATCCCATCTGATTCTCATGGTGGTGCTGCAGTGGTGCTGGGGTCCAACGGGGTTCCAACAGTTTTGAAGAGATTGAGAGAAGCCTGAAAACCAGTGGACTCAAGCAAAACCAGGATTGTCTCAACAAATGACGCACAAATTGGAGCTATAATCCAATTCCTGACTATTTGTTTACAATCCCTTGACACCAGAACCAGGCACGACCAATCTGATAAAACCCGACCAGGACGGATCATGCAAGTTAGGGGATGAAACCGCACGTCGCACCAGCCAGAAATGAATGACCAAATCAGTGTGCTGATGAATGGACCAAATCTCTACCATCCCAAGAGCCCGTCTGGCCAGCACGGTGTGGAAGAACGCTTCCTTCAACGACCAAGTAGCTTCTGTGTGCCATGCCAAAAAGGAGGTCCTCATGTATGTGGATACCTCTTCTGGAAAAATCTTTGGAATACAGTAGCGAAGAAGTTAGTTAGGATTCGGATCCAGTCTGGTCAAACATTCCAAACGGTTCCTTCAGGCTCAGCTCCACCCATCCTTCAGCTCCCGTGGAAAACAACCGCCCCAACCGTCCTCCGTCGCCAGATCGGTGGCCGCCATTGGACATGGCCAGCGTGGCGTTCATGCGCCGGATCAGCCAATCGAAGAGACCTCCCCGGGAGCCGAGCGTTGGAGGCGCGACAACCGCGCGTTCGAGGGCGAGGAAAGGATGGTGGGGTGGGGTGGGGTGGGGTGGGGTGGGGTGGGGTGGGGTGGGGTGGGTGGTCGAACAACATACGTTGGGTTCTCAACTCAGCGAAATGCACGAAGAAGGAAGGGGAAAAGGTGAGCTCTTCTTGGCTTGAGACAAAAGAAATGACTGTCGAAGTTGCGAGCTCTGTCCAAGCCTAAGCAATATAGAAGCAGGTACACCCGCAATGGGGCGCAATGACAGGGACTGTTCCATCGAAAAAAAAAGATAGAAATAAAACATAAGCTACCTTGGGGTGGTCAAGGATGGTCAAGGTAGGTCCTTCTTTCTGCACATCTACATGGAAGCCAGGAAAATGTCAGGCCTAAATACATACTGTGTGCGGAAGAGTTTTTGTTTTCTCCACCCCAGACACTCCGTGGGACTGGCATATTTAACGATCAGTTGGGGTGGTTGAAGTCGGGGTCAATGTAATTAAATCTTCCAGTCCCATGATAGAGTATGTATTGGGGTGGTTTGATTGGTCACGGATGGTCAAGGTAGGTATCTTTCAGTCCCACGGGAGTGTACCATACCCACACGGCTCGCTCAACAAGCCCACAACATCTGCTGGGTTCCCCCGGCGGCCGTAGAGCATGCGCGCCAAGCCGTCCCGAGCAGCTCTGGCTTGGTCCAAGCGTAAGAAGGTCTCGATCTCATCCTTGGAGTCAGGAGGCTGAAGGTTGGGGCCAGTGGATGTGGAAGGTGAGATGTTGTATATACATCAAAATATGTCTTCAATGGCTTGGAAGTGTTTCAAATTTATGTCTTCAATGGCTTGGAAGTGTTTCAAATTGAATGGTTAGGGCAGTCAATCGGCGTCGATGAGCCCAGATGATCATTGAGCTGGTGAGACCCCCCACGAAGCAAAAGCAAAAAGGAGTTGATCAAATGATTTGGCAGGTGAGATTCTTCACATCGAGTCTTGGTATAAATTGGAAAAAGAACATTTCATGATGATTGGAGGTACCCTACCATATACCATTTACTATGTGCCAATTCATCATGAACATTGTAAACATTAGTTATTCTTTTGTAAACCATCTAAAAATACACACCGCGGACGGCGGCGAAGACCACCCGCACGGACTTGGTAGCTCTTACGCCGACCAAAACATGGTCTTTCAACAGCAAAAACACACCCCACGACCAGCAACTTGGTGATTGATGCGTCCCCGTATGACCAGACGTTGCATCTTAGTTAGGCGCGTTGTACTCAATCAGCCCCAATAGGGAAATCCGCAGGTGCAAACACGCACACGCTTTCAAAAAATGCAATTCCATTCGGGCAGCATAACGAACATCGCCCATGATTTGCTTGTTGTTTCATCGGGTTTATAAAAAACACATGACGTTCTAGAGCCAAAAAAGATCAAAAAAGGCTCCCCCGCAAGCTAAAGCTTCATGAGCGATCTAGCACATGACTAGCAACTGAGACAACGCCTCCGCACCTTCGGTGCGGGCGGAGCGCACGGATTGCACGCGAAGGTCGAGCGTTCGGGCCTATCAACCTATCTTCGCCACATCACACCGAGCTCCTCAGCAACACCAACGTCCACAGCACCACCACCCTGAAACACATCCACCAGCCCTGGCCAACCCACCGTCCACCTCCACCCTCCCACCCTCCCTTCCCACTACTCCCCTCCAGTCCCCTGTCTGTCCCCAGGCACGCGCCCGGTGACCACCGTGCGCCGCAGCAGCCCGCTGCGCAGCTTCGCCTCACAGAGCTTCAGCTTCCGCGCGGCCTCCGCCACGAAGCTCTCGCCGTCCAAGCCCAGCTCCGCATCCTGGGAAGGACAGGGCATCCGAGAAACCGGGTGTGGGGTGAGGTGGAGAGAAAGGTGTGGGGTGGAGCAGAGTTGGTTTGATTGAACGGTCGGAAGTGGAGCAGTTGCGAGGGCTTGTGGAAGGAGTTGCTAAAGTGAATGAGTTTGGAGAAGAGATATTTTAAAGATGAAGGTGTCTCAAGAGTGTTCTTGGCCCTGTCCCTATAGGTTTGGAAGGAAGTGATCTGACGTAGCAGCAGGCACTGTTCAACCATTTGCAGGCTGTTTCTTCAATGTCCATGACTACTTGCCGCGTCTGGACGCCAGCTCGACTCTGCTCCTTGAGATTCTTGATTCCACTCCTGAGAATTTGCTCGGAAGGTTGTTTTTTCCCGAAAAGAAGCGATCACGAAGTGACCCACACAATGCAACCCGGTCCTCCTCCTCTTGGTTGTAGAAGTCGCAATTGCCCAAGTTCAGAATCCCCGCGAGAATCTGAAAAGCCTCGCATTCTGCGGAAAACAAACCAAACCAGCGCAGCCTTCTGCGCCTTTTGGACGAGTCTGTGACCTGCGCATCCCGCGCAGGTGTCCTAGGCATGTGAAGACCGGTGACTTCCTCGTCTTGTCCGGTAAGACGGTGCCGTGCCGGTTTTCTGTGTGACGTGTGTCGTCCCCGTTGGTTCGAAAACGCCGACCGTTGGTTCGTCGTTTGGTTTGGGTTTGCTGCAACTGCGCCTGCATCTGTTCCTCTTCACTGAAGCCCAATTGCTGGAGAGCTTGTCCTTGGTCCGTACTTGAGACATGTGGGGAAGTAGATGACTCTTATGATGTCCAGCCTGCTTGTGGCCTGCAAGTCCTGTTATTTGGACCATCAAATTGCGTGAACAAGTTCTTGACTTGGTTTATCTCCGCTGTGTTCAAAGGACTGGGTGCGCTACACTTGGATCGCTACTTCTTTCTTCCAGGGTGGAGGGATGAAACCCAAGGTTTACAGTTCGGTTTACCTATTTCTGCTAGTGGAAGAATGTAGGTCAGGTCGCCCACACACGTTCGCAAACCATCTCAACTGCCCAACTGCGCATTTCGATCTTCCTTCCGTTCGCATCTGACCCGCCGTTCGATCCTGCACCTGATGCGACGCTGGTTAGCGCACGCGCGCACGCGCGCCAGCGCGCCAGCGCGTTCACCGTGCGTGCACCGGCAAAACACGAGGGATTCTTTCGTGACCAAACACCTGCGGCTTCTTTCGTTCGTCCGAGCCTCAAGAGTTCGGGAAGGTGAAGATCATCAACATCTCGCTCTGATGTTGGGTCTTTGGACTCTTTTGTGAAGACAAAGAAGACAGGTCTCCTAAACTCCACCCCTTGTCCAACACTGACCTCGTGACTCGCTCAGGCGGACGCCCTGGAGGACCCTTCGGTGCTTCGCACCAAGTCACTCAGCTTGGCAAAGTCCTCTGCATCGTCAATGCCCGGGGCTTCCAAGGTGCTGTTCTTCAAGTAGCCTCGGCGAGAGGAACCGAACCCGCTGCTCTGATCGGCCAAAGTTCGGGGGGTGCAAGCGCTGCACCTTTTTCTTCATCTGTACAAACTTGGTAGAGCAGTTTTCGTGTCGTTTTTGTTCGGTTCTTCATGCTTCGTGCTTCTGTTTGTCTGCTTTTGAATGGCTTGGAGTGCTGTTTGAACCCTAACACATTCAAGTGGCCGCGATCCCCGAGATAGTCGAAAAAACACCACTTCCATGCTGGCTCAAGATCGAAAGAACTGGACTCTTCAGCTGAAGCTCCGCACCAAATCCCCCGGAACCATCGTGTGGAATCCCAACACTTCCAGAAAAATGCATCCATCCTCTTCCATCCTCTCCACCCAGCCATAAGCCCTCAAAAAACAAGAACAAGAACACCAACCGACCCACCTAAGGCAGGTCCCACACCACTACACCTTACGTGCCAGCGGAAGCGGCGGTAGTGGCTGGGTTCCTGAAGCCCCAGAGATGGCAAGCTTCTTCTGGCCTCGCGCCGAACGTCGAGCGGAACGAGGAGCTTCAACCGAGTGAGGGCGGTGGGACGTGACGCGGTGCTAAGTGGGATCCTATTTGGAGGTCACCAAAAAGAGAGATGAGGAGCTGAGCAACAGTGAAAAGAATGTAGGATGAGGAGCTGGCTTTTCAAAGCTGTTCAAGGCTTCATGTGGCTCTGCATATTAGAAAGTTTGTGATATAGGAAAAAGGCGTCATCAAGTCATCGAGTCATGAAATGGTGCATGGTGGGGTTTGCAGTAGAACCTATTCATCAAGTGCAACACTACTTGATCTTGATTGGTACTTCCTGTATGTTCGACAGCATGCGCACTTCGGAGTTCTGGTATTTGATCCCGATCACATGCTCCCGACGAATCCGGCAACCCCAAACGTCCAATGCACCAACAGCTTGGTGATAAGACTATAAGCATGACCCTCAAGCTGTTTGCCTCCCCAACTGATCAACTACTCGAAGACCCGCGCGCTACGCACTTGGCCTGAAGCAGCTGGAAGAAGATGTGGAAGCCCCGCTCACCCTCACTCTGGCCACCTGAACGAGGCCCGGCACGTGCGCCAGTGGGCAGGGAATGGGTTGGAGCCAGTTGCAGCTGTGAGAGTGGGACGTGTTTTACAGGCATGACCCAGAAAAAGAAACCTAACGTCTATTTTTGTATCCTTCCACCTTTGAAGCATCTCTCCCAAATCCTGCTTCCGTGAACGGCGGCTCAGTGAGCAGACTCGTCGCCCAAGGTCGGCACAGACTCGTGTGACCTCCAAGAGGTAACTGGTGATTTGTCCACCTCGCATGTGCAAGGCCTCAGCACCACGTACGTTGAACGGCTCCACTGACTCCGTGCGTTACGTGGTCCATGTTTGGCGAAGAGGGAGTGAGGCGAACAGGTCCTGCTGGGGAGACGGAAGACCAAGAGGAAGTACTGAAGTAGTATATAAGCCCTTGAACAAAATGCATCGTTAGAGGGAATCATTTAGAGAATCATGTCTTCACCTTGTTCTTGTTTTCTTAAACGAACATGTCTTCATGCACAGTACTCCTTTCTTCGCCCAATCAGGACACCTCTGAGAAGCGAAGGTCCAGCCACTTGCCGAAGCGGCTACTGTTCGCGTTCCTGGGCGCGGCGAACGCATTCGGACCTTCCACCACGACCGTGATCAGAGGTGAGATAGGCGGGGACGTTGGTCCAAGCGCCGACGTTGGTTCAAGTCTGCTGGGATTTCGGTGGGCAGGGCGGTTTTGCAACTTTCACCTCGAGTCTCTTGGTGGGGAAGTGAATAGAACCCCTTTGAGACTGTCCACAGAGATTCTAGGGATTTCTAGGGTAAATATTGCATGTGCATGTCCACATTCTGTGGCCAACTTGGACTTCTTGGAAACAGCATGCAGGGGCCTCTTGTGTTTCAATGCTTCAGTGAAGCCTTTAGTGAAACATCTAACTCCTGACTCTCCCACACGATTGGAGCCAGGAGACACCCCGGGAGTAGAACCCCCAGCAACCACAACCAATTCACCTTGGTGAAACGTGTGGATTCTAGATGCACTGCTCCAGCCTTACGAACCAGAACCACATGACACCCTCCTTCTCACCACGCGAAACCTCGTTCTGAACCTCTCGTCCTACGAGGCTCCTTCTCCTTCGCGCGCAGCGCGTCTCCGCACGCGCGCGTGGAGTCTCGGTCGACGGACGCGCCTGGTGGTCATGGCATTGCCGAAGGACTCCAGGATGGGATTCGTCTGTAAGACCCGCCCCTCCAATCCTTGCAATCCATCCTGTCCATCATGGCCTGGAAGGCGGCGGCGGCGGCTGACCCCGGGCGGTGGCATTGGCGCGGTGGCCCGTTGTTCAGAGAGTTCGTGCGCGGATGAAGCTTGGCGCCGGGGTGAGGAAGGTTCACAGGGTATGAGGACAAGAGGTTCCGTCTTTACTCGAGTATATCTTCGTTCCTGCGATCTGCAGCATATGCAATGAACAAACCATACCTTGGCGACAAGACCGTTCCGTGGTTCAAGCCTCAAGGAAGTCAATTTTGCATGCATTCTGAAGGTAAGAGAATGATCAAAGAAATCCTATGCTACCCAGTATGCAATCCAGTCAGTGTCAGTGCCTAGTAGCAAGTTGGCCTGGCAAAAAAGAAACCAGCAAGTGAAACCCCCACAAAACACCCACCTTGAAATCCAAACACTTATCAAAACTCCACCTGTTTGCAACACCATGATCCCATCCCATCCACCTAATGATGACCTCTCCACCTAATCCCATCCCATCTACTGCCCCTTTTCGGCCACTCCTACATAAAGGCCCCGGAACCCTTCCAACCCCTCCAACCCTCCAACCCTCTGCGCCGTCCCATCCCGGGTCGTCGCCTTTCACGCACTCGGCCACGTAGCTCAGCAGGAACTTCGCGCTCTCCGTCTTGCCGGCGCCGCTCTCGCCGCTGATCACGATGGCCTGGTCCTGCACCCGACGGTCCCGGGAGACCCGGCGGAAGCACCGGGTTTCGCAGCGACCTCCCGGGTCCCTGAGGTCCTGGGAGTTTGTATTTCGTTGTTTTTTTTTAAGGAGAGAGAGTTGGTTTGTGGGGAAAGGTCGGTGTGGAACTTCGAAGGGGTGGGTTGTCATTGAATCTGAACTGCTAGCTGCTAGATCATCATGTCGGTCCGTAGATGGATATCTGGGATTCTTTTGTTAACTCGCACATGTTCATGGCCGGAGTTGCTAGCTTGGCCAAAGGACATGGTTGCAAAAACTCATGAGAGGACACAAAAAGACACGGACTGGTGGGCATGTCCCAAACGATGACTGGTGGGATAAGACAACATCATGACATCCTGGCCATCAAGGCCCGAGCCGGGGCAAACATAGAATAAAACACGTGATCTGGCCTGTGAATACAGGGTGTCTCACTTCTATATTCTATATACCTGTGCCCATCAGTAACAATACCTCTGGCCATCAGTGAGGACTTCTATAAGATTGTCTCTCAGTCCCTGATGAAATATGTCCAGGTAAAGTCTTCACGTCACGTCCAGAAAGAAGAATCGCCCGACGTAGATGGAAAGCTAGGCATCAAGTAACTCTGTCTCCCCAAAATCCAAGAAGCAAACCATCCAAACAGTTAACTGTAGACTGTTGACAAACAAAAACCATCAAAAACCCATGTGGAGATGCAATTAAAACCGTTCATGGCGTGTTATTCATCACACGTCCGAGAGCGACCAAGGTCGTGGCTTGGCTCCTTCCCGTTCTCTGCCAGGCCCCGCAAAGCATCGTGGCCTCAAGCATCTCACGGAGGGACCGAGACCCACAGGCACGAGGGTTGGTGGTAGGACTCCTACCAACAGCTAGGGAAACCAAGCGCATGTGCAGTACATGTGCATTTGTGCAAAGGCATTGGCTGTTGGCTTGGTTAGGTACTGTGCTGCGGTGCACAGGTTCGCACTTTGATTGGCAGATCGAAGCATGTTGTGGTAAAACTCTGCCTGATTGTGCGAGATGTCCATGATAGGACTTTAAGTAGGAGAGCCAAGCGTAATATCTCCACATCTCCATGGAACAAAAGTCTTCTCAAAGTCAGCCTGGATCGCACAGGAAGGGTTTTGATCATGTTTGGAGTCCAATCAATGGTGCAAGTGATATGTGTAAATCCTAAGCCTTAAGCAGAAATCATGAGCTGTGCGTGATTTGAAAGAGAGCCTCACACAATCATCCATATACAGTAAGTGGGGAGGAGTGTTGCGACACCATCTTCCTGTCATCTTCCGCACATCATTGTCAATCAACATCCTTCCTGCACCGCTTGCGTCACCTCACCACATCCTTAAATCACCCAATCACCCAAGGACCAGCAAGAGAGCTGTGTTTCATGGGGACGGCGCCCAACACACGCCGTGAGCGTGACTTCACAACATCTGCAGACCCTCTCACTGGCGCTGGCATGTGCCCCTACACTCCCGGAGCCCAAAAGAGCCAGCCTGAAGATCCTGTTTCACTGATCCCTTAGTGATCGCATCTCACCTTTCCCCTCCAAACTCATGGTTTTTCGTTGCAACTATCACTCCATGGGTCCCACCATCCTCCCTTCCACCGGCCGCAAGTCTCGCTAGTGTCGCAAGTCGCCGTCCTCGCCGTCGCCGTTTTCCGTCGCCGGGCGGCGTCGCCCGCGGCGTCTCCGTTGGTCCGAGCGCGACGCGCGACGACGCGATGCATGCATGGCGCGCGCGTAATCGCGCGGCTTCGGCGTCGTCCCAGTGGCCGGTGCCGAAGATGTGGGGCGAGAGCTCCATGGAATCCTTGGCCTTTTGAAAGTCCGTCAAGTGCCTCCGCGCCCATAGAGCGCGGCGCGGCGTCTTCCGCGCGCGGTGTCTTCCGCGCGAACGCGGGAACTGGTGTGTGGACTGGAGAAGCATCAACATGGGTTGGATAAAAAAAGGGTTCAAAAAATATGGCTGGCAAAGCTGGAAACCAAAAGTATGTTAGAACAATTGTGGGGCTTTGGATGGGTTGTGTTTTTGCTTTATTTTGCTTTGTCATCTCCGACATCTCCAGGTCTTCTGACCTTCAACTCTGTCAACCACCCGAACCCACCTTGTTCCTTCTTCTACATCATGAAAGGCATGAACCTCCAGGGTCTACCCGCTCCTCTTCACCACCGGCACCACCCGCATCACGGTGCCTGGCGGAGTAGATGGGCAGTGCTCGAAAGGGATTCACCGAGATGAGGATCCGGGCCACGCGGGTGTAGATCTCTTGCCTCACACGGTCGCCCGGAGGTGCTGAGGGGTTGGCGAGCTGGTGGGCAGTTGCACACGTTGGCAGGTGCCAGTAGGCAAGTGGGCAATAGATCTGCCTACTTGCCATCCAGCTTAGGTCCTAAGCTTTTGCTTAGGGAATGAAGAGTATAAGAGTTTTCCGACATATTCGTTTCACCTCCAACCCCTGCGAGCCTGAAGTAGCGGGCACGCACACTGTAGAGCAAAGCCGCTTCCGTGACGATGGACAAGGTACAAATGTCTTCGACACCATCCAGCTGGCCGTCCTGAAGCAGGGCGAAGTATCCGGCGAAGCAGCCAGAGTTTGGCCAGGGAAGATGGCAATGGAGAAGTGCCACGAAATAGGGTGTTCGACATCTTTAAGAGTCTTCCAATAGCATGACAGCCCAAGGGTGAAGTTTCAACAGTATAAAGAAGCGGAGCATGGAGGAGGTCCCTGTCGCTGCAGGGCGTCATTGCAAACGTGATGCGACACCATCCCGAAAGAACATAAACACTCTGGTGCAAGACTAACCTTCTTGCAAACTGACAGCCACTCTGAAACAACACGCATTTCAGCCAAAAGCGGAGAAACGGACAAAGACCACCTTCAAGCAATTGCCTTCCAGGGCTCTGCTTGCAGTTCCTACGTCAAAAAAGCTCCGGCCAACCCTTTCCAGTGAAGATACACATCCTGCAAGTTCAAGTTACCAGTTCAAGTTCTTGGCAACCCTTGACCCGGAAAACATCTAGTCTAATTCACGTCAAACAAAAATGAATGTGTTGTTTGAAAGCTCTCCTTCACCAAGAACCATCCGACACAATGCAGGACTCATTGCAACTAATCGTTCTGGCACCAAAACAACAAAACCTCCAAATCTTTGACCTGAGAATCTCCACATCTTCCAGGCAAACATCGCCGCTCCTCCCACTCCCACCCAGGTCCATCGCCTGCACCGGGTCCAGCTCTTGTAGCTCCTTTTCGGAGCAGCTCCATCGCTCGCCGTCCTCGAAGATCAACGACACGCCACCGCCCTCCACGGACTGCAAGCGGCAGGGGCACCAGACGCGGTCCGGGCGCGGCGCCTCGGGGCCCGGGCCAGCCGCCCCAGCAGCCCCAGCCGTGCCGGGCCACCAAAAAGGCAGAAACCCCCAAAAAGGGTTGAAGAACCCCTACCAAGCCCTACCCCTATGGCGCTGTGGCTGGGTTTTCCCAGCCAGGTTGGTGGAGGGGATGTGGAGGGTGCGTCCCTCGGATTTTGTCCTATTATGGCATTTTCGTTCATACATGTTTCCAAATCGATAGAACTTCGTCCTCTTCACCTTCGCCAAGCCACCCAGTAGGATCCGACCAATGTGCCATCATGCATGCTGCACGCGTGACCCACGCGAATCGCGAACGGTCGGCGCTTCTCGTGGCCGTGTTCTCGTGGCCGTGGCCGTTCGCGGCGTGGACGGCATGGCGTGCGGCGTGTGGTGTCGTGTTTTTTTCTGAAGAATCGACCTGGAACATGTATGCCCTATAGGGCCCTATATGCATCCTATATGCATCCTAAGAATTCGTTGGAACAAATCACGCTAGACTGGGCATTCTTGCTCTTCACTAGGAAAACTGGTGTACTACGTGCTCAAAACCTCAAAACACGTCGACGGTGCTTCTTTGACCATTCTTGTTCACGGGGACGAGGTTGATCCCTCCGCGACCGTCCCTAAACCCAGTCAACCCAGTGGTGTCCGTATTGGGAAGAATAGATGGGTCGGTCTGGTACCATTGGCCTATTGGTGGTACACTTGGGGGTATCCTCTCTATTAATGATCAACCAACTAATAGTAAAAGGCCATCTATGAGTTGAATTGCACAGTAGAGCTGGCGCTCAAGGTAGAGCTCCAACTGGCTTGAGCAACACGACCGCATCAAAAAAGCCTCCTGTGTTCCAAAACGGAGCCAGCTCGCTGGAGACTCACGGCTTAGAGGTTCTCCACGAGGTCTTCACGCACACCCTGTTCCTGGAGACTTCTTCTCACCAACTCTGCCTTGTCAGCGACCAGAATGCTTCCACGGCGCCATCCACAGCGACGTCAACCGCGACGTCCCGTGTCGCGTGACACATTTTCCGTGCACGGCACGAGAGGCCGCTGTTCAGCCATGTCCAGCCACAGGCGATGGTCATTGGACCTGGGGTCGGCCATGGAGCAAGGGTGCGTGAGGCAGCGAATAAATTCAAGGTGGGCTCTTATCTTCTGGTCGGAATTCTATAGGCAGTGGCTGTTCAAATAGTATATAACAAGTCCAGTTGTTCCCTATGCACTGCACTCTGCCCAACATCACTGGCTGCCAATTCAATGACAAAAAACTGGCTGAATCAGCAAGCTTGGACTCACTAGCAGCATGCAAGGTCTGTAGGAGAAAAAAACAGAACCTCTGAACATTCACCTGCCGGTGAATGAAGCTCAGTGACCGCACCGCGCTCCTCGGTGACAGTCTGAACCTGCTGACGTCCAGAGTCTGAGGATGAACCTTTTGACTCGGCTACTTGACCACTCGCCTCACATCCGAAAGGTGCAAACCGCAACGACTGGACCTTAGAAGGCACTTGAAGTTCAAGTGCCCCTCGAAAATAACACTGAATACATAATCTTGCTTTGGGTTGCTGTCAACAAGGATCTCCAAAAGGCAGGTTTTCTTGCGGCTGTATATCCTCAGTTTGGCTTCAGCAACTGCTTTGGCCAAAGCCACGGCCACAGTCTGGCCAACTGTTGTACTAAGATTGAGACGGGTTGCCTTGTGCAAAAGTCCCTGCAAAATTGCAATAATTCTCCCGGGCAATGCCAACAAACGGTCAACAAGACCATCTGCTCAAAATCTTTGCCCAATTTTCTGTACATCATCTTTGCAAGGATTTACGTGGCATCTACCTTGGTCTCACAAGGGGTTCTGTAGACACTACTCGTCAGAAGTGTGGGCCCCGCAGGCATGCCACCCACAGGTGCGGGGGGAGCTGAGGACGATGGCTCTGAAGTCAAGGTCTGCATCAAATCGCTCAGAGTCGCTTCATAATGAAGATGAGAAGCCTTCAAAGCTTTGCAAATGGTCTCTCGAACGAAGCTGTTCATGGCATGAAAGCCACCAGGCATCTGCTCGATGAGTGAATGAATCATCTGCCGATCTTCTTCGTCAGTTGCCTGAGCACTGCATGTATCCAACTCTGCCACTGTTTTGGCCACAGCAACAGCCACATCGGTTCCAGCATTACCTTGCTGCAAGACTCCGGCAGAAGTGCAAAGAAGCAAACCTTGAAAGTGATCACTGCGTGAGAGGCAAATGGTTTGGTACACTTCAAAAAGGCACCAAATTCTTTGAAGTGGTTGAACTGTGTCATCGATGATCATGGTGGTACCCTTGCACTCTGGACTTCTGAGCGCAAGGTAAAAGGACGAATCTTCCCATTTTCCATGGCCAAGTTCATCCTTCACATGCCACTGACTGTTGCTGAAGGTGCAAATCCAGTATGCCGCATCTTGCCAGCCTGAACTGGACGCTACTGACTGGGCATGCTTTCGGATGGCATCACTGAAATGACGAAGTGGCATGCCCCAGTAGTGGCTCACGAACCACTGGATCTTCGTTGCCCCCACGAGTTCCACGAAAGACAGTTGAAAGGGCTTGGTGAGGGGCTTCACAATATTGGAGCAAACGTAGTACATGGAACGCTCCTTGATGAAGCTATCAAAGAACCTCACCGGAGCCGACCACGCACGCGGAGGCGAAGCGCACAGACAAGGATGGGGTCCCGGGACGGATGGTCGTTGGCCAAACAGAAGGGGGGGGGTTCACTTCCAAGTGAGTCTTCTTTTTCCATTGCTTGTGGTAGTTCAGAGTTCCAAGTGAGTGAAAATTGCTAACAACAATCAGGAAAAAAAACAAAAAAGACTTAAAATCATACAGCTGTTTCATGCGGGTAAAAGCCAACCCGCTTTGAACATGCGCCAAACGTGTTGGTGAAATCGTAGAAAATCCTTCGGAACTAGGACTGGCTGCCTTTTGTGAAATCGAAGAAATTCCGAATGGCTGCATGACAAATAAACAAATAACCGATGCCCCTTTGCAAACAAAAGAGCACATGACCTTTCAATGTTGAGTCTTTCAGTTTGTCACGTTTTAAGAAAAGAAGAAAAAACACTATCCTTTCACATTCCATACAAAATGAGTATTCTGAATCAACCTGCTCAGCACCAAGGAAGGTAATTGTTATCTTTGCTTCATTGGTCGTGGTTATAAATGCTACTTCTTAGGGAAGGGACAGGTGGAATTCCACAACTCCTTGGTATTAATTACATAAGTTACTATATATCTGCCAACCAATGTGTTCATTCAATCGATGGAACTCCAAATCTCATGCGAAAGTTGGGAGAAAATAATAACAAGCCCTAGAAGTCCAGTTCGACTATGTTTTGACCGGCTGAAGTGAAGGAGATTCCTAGACTCGGGTCACCTAGTCGACTCCCAGGGCAAGCACGAAAAAAACATTCCAAGACACTGCACGAAGCGTTGCAACTTGCCGGCGCTCATCGAACGATCCGGTCCCCGGCTGCATCTCTGGAGAGCCAAGGGCTGCCACTCTTGGAGAAACTCGTGACGGCGTTTGGCCAAAGGGGTTCTGGTGCCCTGCCTCCGGGGGTTTGAGAGCACAAACGATTGATAGAATGGGATCTAAAAATTAGATCAAATATATTCAATTATGATGCTGTCAAGTTGATGATGATATCACTGATATCCAAACGTATCTAACGGTCTCCACTCGACCCTCTGCAATCGCCACGGAGCGGCGATTTAAGCCATGCCTCCGGCGCAAAGCAAAACAGAAAGAGCCCGTGCAAAGGCCCAAGGCACCAAGCACCACACTGAAGCGCCAGGTCAGTTGAAGTGCAGTTCCAACAGTCGCTGCCAAGAAGAACACACACCACCCGATCAGCGGACAGCGGGCAAAGCCAGCTGACACGAAGAGCTGTGGGAACTTCACATGCAAGTGTCCCTTTGATGTGTCCAGTGGCATACTGCTCTTCTCACCTTCCAGTGCCAAGTGATAGTAGCTCGTAGCTTTCACCCTCCAGGTCCACGAAGATGACTCCAAGTCAGGAACTCCGGTGCGTGCGAAGGTCACGTTGCATGGCCGTGATAAAAGAAAGTGGGCAATAGAGGTGGTCACCAGCAGTTTTTCGCCCTGCGCGGACAGATCGGAGATGGGAATTCGACCTGAAAAGCCGGTGAAGAGGAGGAAGCACAAAGAAGCTAAGGTCATCCATAAGATCAAAGCAAAAACCATATCCATGGCCAGAATTTGACAGCTTTGTCTCATGGCATCAGGAGTGGCTCGAATGAACAACCCTTCGCAACTGCTGCATGTAGCGCTGTTGTCATGGGACACATGACCCACCGGACACGCTTGGCAAGCGCTGCTTCCTTCGGATGCAAAGGTTCCTCCGCGACATGGCTCGCATGTCAAAGAGGACTGGGCAAAGCGGCCAGGTTCGCAGCGTCGGCAAGCTCCACCTGCTCCAAATGAAACGGTGCCTGAAGGACAGGTGCTGCACTTTCCACTGGCTTCACCTGAATAAGTGCCTGCTGGACAGGGCTCGCATGCGACACTGCCCACCTTTGGCGCAAAGGAACCAGCCTCACAGGCGCTGCAAGAGTTGTTCCCTGCTGCCGAGATGAAGCCACCAGGACACTTGTTGCACAGTTGATGATCGACTTCATACGTTCCTGCAGGGCAAACGTCACAGGCCGAAGCACCTGATGTCTTTGAAACCGTTCCTGGAGGACAGGTTGAACAAGTGCTGCTTCCGGTCAATGAGAACCTTCCAGGACCACACTCTTTGCAAAGCCGACCTGCTTGCGAGAACGATCCAGCTGCACAAGGAGAGCAAAGACCCTGACTCTCTTCGGTGCCAGCTGGGCAAGAGCCTTCCGCACAGGTGCTTCGGCCCTCCTGGTCGAGTCCATGGAAATGAGAATCATTGCAAATGCAGGAGCCTGTACCTTGCGCAATGAGAGTGGCCGTGGAGGACTGCCACTGCAGGGCGGCGGCCGCGGCGGCCGCCTTGGCTGCCGCATCATCGAAACAAAGGCCTCGACCGTAGCAAACTTGCCCATCTGCTCCTGGACATGCTTTGCATCGATGCATCTGCCCAACTTGTGCCTGCTCACTATAAAAATGTGGCTCACAACCAGAACAATCACCAAGCTCATGGCCTGCAACGCAGCTGCACTGCGTTGCGCGAGGCAAGCAAAAGCCTCTCTGATGGCAGGGGTCAGATGGAACGCAGAAGCCGGCGCTCCAAAGCACTGCACCCTTGGCGTTGTCATGCACGCTGATGAACTTGAGCCGGCCATCCTTCAGGTCTCCCAAGTCCAAGTGTAACAAGTCACCCAGTCCCTCAAGAGGACCTCCTGGGCTATT